AGTTTTTCCGAGATAAAAGTAAAGGAAGTAAAAGCGTGAAAAATTTTCAAACAACCTAATAGAAATATGTTCTCGTTCATTGGCGCTACCCGATAACATTTTATGAATATGAGGATTTTGGTTAATGGGGCAATAGGCCTTTGACCACAAATGGATTGTTTATCCTAATTTTCAGTTATGTCTCGTCTTATGTCACTCTCTACCTTTTTTCCAACACCCGTGGGGAAATCGAACTTTTTTTTGGAAAAAGGGGTCCAATTTTTTGGCATTTTCAACCTGAATCTTTGTTTTGGAATCTGAACTTGCTCTGAACATTGTCTGAAAATCTGTGTAAATGTAGAAAACTGAAATTTGTCACATTTTCTATTTTGACAGTTTCACAGAAACTTGGTGATATGTGGTGCCGCGTCCCTCTAAGAAAAGGCAACAGGTGGTATTGAACCATTTTCTGGTATTCTTGTCCATACACTGTGATGGAAAGGCAACTCACTTTCTGCTGCTTGCAAAACTGCCCCAACCCATCAACGAGCCTTGTAGCCACTAGTGGAGAGACTTGGTGAAGAACCGAGATATTCACGGCCAAGCCTCCCTGGTAGTGACAAAAAATCCATCCGGCCCGTCAATATCAAACTTTTACATCAGGTTGGCCTAAGAAGAGAATTTGCATGAACGCTACGAAATTCTCGCGAAACCGTGTCCTATCCCATAATGTTGCCATGTTTCTGCGAGCAGACTCCAATATTGCAATCTTATACTGCGTATTGAGACAAGGAGCTTTTTCCATCCTATATCGAGTGGTGTATTCGTTTGAGCGGATAGATCGCCGAATGGTCGTTTTCAAGGCTGGTGAACCAATCTGAGCTCGCACAGAAAAGCAAGAATTCGACGGAAGACGGGCTACTTTTTTTCTGAGCAGTCAAGGATCGTGGTTTACCCGAAATGTGCGCTACTGCATTCCCATGGATCGGCTAACCCTCGTCGTCTGACTCTAGCCGTCTAGCAGATGGAGAGTCAAACTTGGAGGGGGCAGCGCCAATGAGACTTGCCAAACGTGAAACCAGGGCCAGGAGGGGTCCCAATTCTTGGGTGCTAGTCCATTTTTAGGTTCCTTCCTCATCCCTGAATCACTGATCACTCTGCTTTGATTGCTCATGGGCTATCTTTTCATAGTAAACTTCGCCTGTAACAGGAATGTTCACAAGCATGAAAATGCCTAACTTTCGACCGATGCAAGCAAGTGACATAGTAAGCTCCGCCTCCAACAGTAAGGTTCACAAGCATGGGAATGCCTAACTTTTGACAGGTGAATAGAAAGCGAATATGCCAATGGACGTTGTCTCGATGTAATGAGCTTCGTTTATCGATAGTTCACGTGAGAAGATATTCTGCTGTTTGGCCAGCCTTGAAGGCGGGTATTAAGGGCAATGCTTGTAAAGCCAAACTCGGTCATTTGATGGTGATTTGTGCAGAAATCATTGAAGCAGGAATCACAAGTCAAAGACACCTCGGGCCTTTGCACCCCAACAATATAACTAGACATAATTACCGCGAACTCCATAAACTCTGTTCATGCCTAAGTCTGAGAGGAACTTGAGTATGATACAGAGGGCATCAGAGCAAAGTTGGGCACCGACCCACAATTCGCAGGTAGAAAAAAATTGTTGCTGACAGGATATCGTGGAATTCGTCATACTCAAGAAATGGTTCGTTAGTGGTAGTAGTGGTTAGTTCTCATTACTCAGTCCTATGAAATACTCGGTAATGATTTTGCCGAAGAAAAGTCAACTATTAGCATAATTGAGACATCGATTATTGCGCAGTAACTCATGAGAGTTGAATGATCCGATTGTCTTGAGATATGTTCTGTGGGCGAATTGGAAATGTTGGTTATGGCCCCAGTGGAAAAGTACATGGCAGTCATAAAAGGCCTGCAAGTCTGCATGCATTCATAAATAGAAATATTTGTAAGTATAATTGGCGAGTAGTGTCCAATTTTTCTATGCACCCGAGTTGTTTCTTGCCTAAATGACAAATTTCTTATTAAGCTGGTGCCATATCACAAACTGTGATATATCCTATGGAAGTGTTGAAAACGAGACTTGCATTGAGGAAGACCGGTCAACTGGACAATGGTCTATTGCATTTCGCACAGAAGATGTACAAAAAAGAAGGGCTTGGTTGCTTCTACAAGGTGAGTTAGCAGGCACGATTTGTACGCGTTCTTGAAGATGTGTTAGGTCGGCACATGATTCCTGAGAAACCTTGGCTGCTCTCCAATTTTATTGTTTTTTCATTCTTCTGATATACAATACTTATCCCATTCAGTATAAACCCTCATTATCTGCAGCACATCGTCAACGCGAGGGTAGGTGCTCAAATGCTCTCGTGTAGAATCCCATTGAGT